CAATTTTATTAATGCTTTAAAGTGTAAAAAAAATCTATGCTGATATGAAAGCTAATATTAATTATTTGGACGCTTCAGAGTATCCTACGGGCTCTGTAGTATGTATCCTAGTATGTATTCGATTTGCCATGTGTAAACAAAAAGATTGTCTGTTTAATAAAGAATGAATGCAATGATAGTATATTAACAGAATTCATTGGTTTGAGGAGTAAAATGTACTGTACTTGTGTGTATGGCTTTGATGCTATGAGAAAAATTAAAAGTATAATGACTTCTGTTGTCAAGAATTGACTTTAATCACTATTCGGATTGTTTGAGAAAACTACATATTCATATAAGAAAGCGATGTACAATAAGATCCAAGATGCACAATGTCGAAACTATTCGATATAGAAAAATTGCTCTGAGTCCTTATAATGACAAAAGATACTTAATCTCTGACAGTACTGATAGACTTGCTCATGGACACTTCGAAATCAAGTAAACAAATATTATTTATCCATTTATCGAATAATATTATCATTATTTATAGTTATTCATTTCCATTAAGTTAGCTATTCAAAATTTTAGGTTGGAATAAATATCCATCAAAACGTGTATGCTTTCAAGAGAAAGTTCAAGTACTTCATATGATCGCATGGGTATATGCATATCAAACAGCTCACTGTGGAGAATGGATGCAGATGACTCGTGATTTAGAATGTTTCAAAATAAGAATCAAACGTTTAAATGAAATTATTACATCATTTTTTGTAAAGAAATGTATGAAATTCAGAAACAAATGAGTAACACATTAAAGACTATAAAAATTTGTATTTATTATGTATTTTCATATTTTATATATCATCTTTATGAATATAACTGTTATGTGATTCAATGAATTCTAACCATTTCACTGACAAGGAAGGTAACCCAACCCGAACTAATCGATTTTGATAATTCTTGTATATCTTGTAGTATATTAAAAAAACAAGAGATTCTTTTTTTTTAATGGTGGAAAAACATATTTAAAAGGTGACATCCATCCTCATAGTTCACCCCGAAAAATATATTTTTTCAAATAACTGTATGTATGCTTCGAAGGAACTTTATCAAAATTCAATTTTGACCTTGGCAAAGCTCGTCTATGTTTGACTCGCGTCGTGTATTCGATCATTCTCTCTCCCTTCCTTTCATGTCTGTGCTTTCATCAATACAGCCCTCTACTTCTCGAACTATTTAAAGTGTGATCTTTCTTATAGCAATTAGGTAACCCCCAGGTATGACCCTAAAATCGCTAGTTTAATCCCACTCAGCCTTCCGCTGTTGTGCTCCTTCTCTTATTTTCTGTCATCGATTGCATTAGTTTTAAGTTTATTAATAAGAATTAATAATGCGCTAGTTTGACTAAATATCTTATGGTTTCTATTACTTACATGCTCTTTAGTTTGTGACATTATTTGTGTCGTTAAAAATTTATAAAACAGAGATAACAAGAGAGGAAACAGTTCTGACTATGTGCACCTTACAGAACATGATGGAGATTTTGAGATTTAAGAATAAACTAAGGGGGAAGGCAGTATAGGTGGAGGATGACTTGACAGCTAGAGAGAAAGAAAGCCAGGAGAGGCTAGTCAAGATGGAGAGAGAAAAGAGGGACAGAGAAACATCAGCTACAGTGGTACACCAAAAAATAAATACTGAAGGAGTATGGTTTGAGTAGAGAGAGTAAAGGTGATATTGTAAAGGCAGAAAGAAGTGGAGGGGTTAACATGAGCTAGGGAGAAAGATTCAGAAAGTAAAAAGGACAACAGGAATGAGCTGGAATGTGGCAGGAATGAACAACGTATGAAAGGAAATAGATTATTTGACAAGGCATGACATAATAATATTACACGGTAATATTATTATATCATTATAATATTAAACATGGTTGTCAGAGAAAAAAAATGGAAAGTATCCTAAAGAAGATGGGAGGAGAGTATATCTAGAAAAATAAAGCGATAATGAAAACGAAGCGGACAGGAAAAGTGAGTAGGTAAGTGATAGTAGGTATCAGGAAGAAGAGGACGATTGGGCTAAGGTGGCAGGGTGGCAACATGGAGTAGTCTTAGACGACGTGAATATTGAAAAAGAAAGATGTGATATAATCAACATTTACAATAATGTGGGAATAAGAAGGGTGAAAAGTGACTTAAAAAATCTAATTGAGGAGAACAATAAGAAGGGAAATGGACTTTCAATAATAGGGAACTTCAACATCAAGATTGGAAAAAACAACGAGGGAGAAGAATTCGGATACTCAAAAAGATTGAAAAATAAAAAAAAAGATCAAAGAAGGGGAGAAACTTATAGTGTTATGTATGGAGAGAGAAGTGAGGATAAAAAAAACTGAAGATCGGATGAAAACTGAAAAAGAGAAATAACGTACGCAGGAGAGAGATGCAGCTCGTCACTAGATATCATAATCGAGAGACAAGACGAAAAAGGAGAAATAGGAAATAAGATGAAGGTAGAGAATAAAATGGTATCGGATCACCTGCCGGTACATTTTAAGATAAAAACAGGACGGAAGTTAAAACAAGCAAGATAAGAGGCTGGCAAACAAGAACTGGAGGTGGTTATAGAATAGTATAGGATCAAGAAAAGAGAAGTTTTCAGGGAAAAATTTAAGAAAAGACTGAAAGAACTAAGCAAGAAGAGTTTGGAGTACAGATGGGAAAGAATGAGAAAGACACTGGTAGAAGTTGAAATGAAAATAGTAATAAAAAAAATGGTGAAGAGCAAAGTAAACTAGTATGGAAGATATTAAATAGTCATTTGATAACGAAGAGAGAGAAAGAAAGAGACAGATACAGAGAAGAGAAAAAAATAACGAAATAACTAGAAAAGGTGACAAAGAGAGAAATCGCAGAAGAAACGTAGACAAGAACAGCAAAAGCAAGGAAAGAGACGAGTTCTAAAAGGCATTGAAAAATTTCAGGATGAAAAAAGAGAGAAAAGGAAAAGAAATCTTGAAGAAGGAATGGCTAGAACACTTCAAGCCCAAAGAAGAAAAAAGAGATAGGGCACTCGAATAGACAGAGGAAACAGGGAAAAAGATCAGACAAGAGATAGATGCAGAGGAGAAAGAAGAGATCACAAAAAATTGGAGTGAGTAGAGTGTAATAAATAAGGTTATAATCAGAAGAGAGATTTAGGAAGTGATTGGTAAACTGAAAAACTAGCAAGCAGCTGGACATGATAGAATGTCAGGGGAGTTCTTCTCATACTACCGAAAATTCCCACCCTCGAGCGAATAAGTAAACTTACTTCTAATGAGATAACCGAATCATCAATGGCTCATTCGAGATAGATAAATATTATACCAACCACCCAGAGAAGGGATTTTTACTTAAGCATTCCAAATCTATAAAAGAGCCTCGCATTGCTCCGAGATTACGCTTCTCGTTTTTCCACTATCATCGTCAGAATCAGTCATTTCGAGACTTTACCGAACACTTAATATGCAAAGATTGCGTAAACTTATAGTTATGTTTCTTGGCTGCAGTTTAAGCTAAAAGTAAGTTTTGTAATATAAACACAAATCAACTATTCTTTAGAAATCTATTCGTTTCACAGTTCTGATTCCGAGTCAACTTATCATCCCGCGAGGCTGGTTTATGACTCTTAGATTTATTGTAAACTGCATATCATCCCGCAAATTTGTTATACATTTACGGAAATTGACTATTTTGCTGATCAATCTATCACCCTACGAGGCTGATTTGTGATACTTTCCTTTTCATCAGAAAAAAAATTCATAAGCTTGCCCGATTGAGGCACGTAAGTGCCGACCTAAAAATAATAATTATAATTCTTATGATTTCGTGACAGAACCATACAGGGTTAAACCCTACGGTCTCAATAAAATCAATCAATCAATCTTGCGCTTGACTTCGGATGATACGCGTACATTAATTAGTTTAAAAGGAGTACTTCCATATGCATAGATTGATAGCTAGGAAAAATTTGAATACGTATTCTCAGTGAATATCTCGTTTCTTATTGTGCGGACATTTTTGACTTGCCTGTTTTCACCTTCTTTATGAAAGTCAGCTATATTTTTCGCTCCTGCTCATGCTTGCAACAAGTTATAATCTTTACATAATTTCTTTATCATAGCTCGACAATGAAATTTGATCTTTTTGAAGATACGACTTACATTTCGCTCCGTCAAAAATTACGATGTGATGTTTATATCATTCTATAAATAAACAAATACTCTCATCCGCAGCTCAATAAATATTATTTACTCGATATTGTAATTTGACTACTATAGTCGACGACTCTGCCCGTTTACTGGTGATTAGCTATAGCTCACCATGGTTTTCGGTAGTGATAAAGACATTATCGAGAAATCAAAGCAAACCAGACTAAATCTTGTTTAGATCAATTAATCTGCAATATACTTCATAAATTTTTACCTTATACTTTTAAACTGCCACAAGTAGAAAATAGAATGTACATTACCTGTTAGATTAGTAAATAAAAGGAACAGTCATCACAAAGCTAAGGTAAAAAAAGTTTTAATGATACTTCAAGATAATATATTGAGTTGATACGAGCGGTGGTGAATGAGTGCAGTGAACACAGCAACCTCACAGCGCCAATTCATAGAACGACGTGCGCGTGCCCACGCGTTTCTATAAATAGGCATGTAAATACGACTGAACAACTACTTATGTTAATAGTAGTAAATATAATGCGTTTATTTTAAAACAATGATCAGTAAAAACATTTTCCATTTAATTATCATGATTTTTTCGTAGGTTTTACGATTGATATTAATGTCACTTACTGTATTTTTAATATTAACAACTAAATCATTACGAATCATAAGCTGATTTAAAAATAAGCTTATATGATACCATTACCTATCACCGTGACAGCATTATGATTTATCATAATTTAGAAAACATTAAAAAAATTTATTATTTAAAAAATGTACATTAACATTTTACGTAAAATATTAATATTACCTTTTTTGTGGAGATTACTCAAAGATAACAATCGATCAATTATCTGTGGTAAAATTTGTGAATGATACTCTGATTGTTTTACTAAGTGATATAATTCCCAAACCTGAAAACAATGTATTCATCAACAACTTATTACTTATTTAATGTTTTAAATACACAAAAATACCACAAAATGAAAACGTAAACTGTTATTTATTTTAAATGTTTGTAATTTCTATTAAATATATAACGGAGTAATCGACCGATACCGATATAAGTTCACCGGATGTATACACTAACTACATGAGAGTCGGTATTAAGAACATGGATCGTAATTAGGTTCAACAAACTATGATACAAGTTTAACGTTGACGTTTTCACTCGCAAAAGACGAAAATGATACAAAAGGGCACTCTCGCGCCTTAAACGAATAAATACAAATGTAATTAAATATAAACACAAAATAAATAATTACATACGTGTAGAGAATTTTGGCGGAAATTCTGCCTACCAAACTTCATTTTTGAGAGAGAGAGAGAGAGAGAGAGAGAGAGAGAGAGAGAGAGAGAGAGAGAGAGAGAGTCTCTACTGCTGGTTGTCTGGCTGCTGCTTATGGTCACTTTGCTCTTATGTATTGCAACTTACCATTACTGTTCGTTGTCGCTGCCGATCAGTTGCCACCAAAATAACTATGTATGCCGTTGACGATACCCACATGCATCGGTGCCGAGAAGGATCACTAGCTTGGTACAACGCAGCTCTAAACAAAAATTGCAACGATTTCGTAAACACACTCCATGTATTGGACGTATATCCCCAGTGAAAAACATCAGCGAGGTCGCGTACCAAACTTGCCGGGACAACGTGAAAGACAATGCATGGGCGTGGCTTCTCCTTCAGCGAAAGTTTAAATAAAGTTTATCAAATTTTGTCGTACGAGAGTCGCCATTTATATTTGAACCTTGGAAAACCTAGTGTTGTTAGGCACCATCTCACCATATCATTTAAATATTTTTAAATGAATATTCTTCAGAACGTTTTGTCGTTGCATTACAACTTCTGTTGTATACACTGGCTTGAAAATCTTGTCTCAATGAAAAATGGAATTAACTTGTCAACATTATCGTATGGTAATTTTCTGCGACTTTCAATGTGAATTATCTGGACAGAAGTGTATGGATCGACTTACTTCTACTTTTGGCGATGAAGCCCCATTCTTTGCCACTGTAAACGCTGATGAGTTCCATCGTGCCTGCCGTTTGGTCAACGACGAAAGTGAAGGTCGTCCATAATCAATTGTTTTACCAGAAAATATCGATGGTGTGCGCGAACTGATATTACAAGATCATCATGTGACTAATTCCGAGAGCATCTTTGGGCATTAGTATGAATAAGATGTTACATGAACATTTAGTAATAAAAAACATTTGTAAAAAATATAATCCCGGTACCTCAAAGACTGTGACTAATGTCTGCACAGGTGATGAATCTTGGATCTATGCATATGAGCCGGAAACAAAACAGTAATCCACTATATGGATCTTTCAAGACGAGAAAAATTCGGCATAAGTAATTCGTGCATGAAGCAACTAATCACCTGTTTTTTCGGAATAACTGAATAGTGGCAACTATACCATCAAAACATTATAAAATAGTTAATTCTAGATGGTATATAACCATTTGTTTACCAGGCATATTACGTAAAATAAGAAAAGATAAGCGCCAACGACGGGTTATTCTTCATCATTATAATGCAAACACTTCGGCTTAAACAACTGCTTATTTGACTGAATGCCAAATTGATGGGTCATCTTCTTTACAGCACTGATTTAACACCAAATGACTTCTTTTTATTCTCATATATCAAGAAATACCATGCAATTTATTGCGTAGTCAATGTTTTTCGGCGCCTAAAGAAGCCGTTGATGCATTTGAAAACTATGTTTTGGAGATACCTTAATCAGAGTGGAAAACGCGTTACGAAAATTGGTTTGAGCTTATACAAAAGTGTATTTATCATTATAAAGAATATTTTGATAAACAATAAATCTATTTTAGATAATGAATTACTGTTTTCATTATTATCCTCAAAATATATACAGCAATCCTTGTATCATTATATCCAAATTTTCGATAAATATTTGTTTCAAAATTTTAAATCAGTACAGAGAATAAAGATATGAGTGTTCATAAATATTACTATCTTGAATTAAGTAGGTTTTATGATCAAAAGGTAATTCATTGATCATGATATTTTGCAGTGTTTGCTATGTATTCAAAAGATCCCCCTAAATTTTTAGATCGATCGGTTCAGCGGCTTTCCTGGACCGATTGATGGAAATTTTGAAAAATTTAAGGGAACAAGATATTTGTTCCTTAAACTTGACTTAATCTTTTTAAACTTCAATAATTTTATTTTTTTCGACTTTTTACTCAATTTTGAGTTTTCTGAAGATTGATTAACAAAAAAAAAAATCCAAAAAAATTTTTTAAAAATTTCGAAAATTTTTTGAAACATTTTTTTTGAAAAATGAAAAAAAATTTGAAAAAACATTTTTTCTCACGCTTAAAAAAAAATTCCGTAAAATTTTCTTAAAAAAATATCGAAAAAATCAACAACAACAAATGTGGAAAACGGCTCACCCTAAAGGCTATCCCTACAAGTTCCCACTAATTTATTTTTTGGAAAATTAAATTTAAAAAATTTTTTAAATTAAAGAAAAACCAAGAAGCCATTTCTGACTTACCTCGTTGAAGTTATGAGCACATTCAAACCTTTTTTTTTCATAAAAAAATTTTATTGAATAGAATTAAAGTCGATATTCCGAAGGTGCTCATGGTACTCATTGCGCGCAATTCTGAGCGATAAATGTTTTACGTTTTCTACAGAGCAATTATGTTACACGAAACAGTTTTTTTCAAAACTTTTCGATTTGTGGTAATAAACACCAACCAACAGTTTTTTTCATTATTTTTAAAGAAATTATTGACAGTAGCTTTTAAATTTCAATTTATCCCATAATGCCTCCCAGGCAACATTTATCTGCCCTAGAAGTCGATCGGCTAGTGACCTTTATTTAAGAGGGGTACAGATATCGACAGGTTGATGGAGAACTCGGTGTAAGTTCTTCGGTTGTGTCTCGTGCGTACAACCGATTCCGGGAAACAAATAGATACCAACGACGTACTGTACAAGGACAACATCGAGCAACGACTCATCGAGATGATCGCGCAATCATTCAGGCTATCCAAAACCCTTTTGCTCCAGCAAACGTCATCGCGCGAAACATTTCTCGATCGATGGTAAGAAATCGTCTTCGCGAATCTGGACCCCTGCCCGTGGACCGATGTTGACCGTTGCACATCGTAGAGCTCGTCTGCAGTACGCTCACAACCATGTGAACTGGTCAATGAGAAATTGGAACAGCATTTTTTTCTGACGAGTCTCGGTTTTGCCTGCATGGTAACGACCGAAGACCTCGAGTTTGGCGTCGTACAGGTCAACGTTATCAACAGCGTTTTATTCGTCCCATAGCTACATACGGTGGAGGATCAGTGATGGTTTGGGCTGCGATTTCATGGGATTCTCGTACTCCTTTAGTGATTGTCTGAGACACTCTCAATGTTAGGCGTTACATTGACCGAATCTTGCAATCTTACGTGTTACCGTTAGCACGAAATAGGAGAGGATTTATTTTTATGCAAGATAATGCTTGGCCTCACACAGCGACTATCAGCCATCAATTCTTTCAGAGGAACAACATCAGATTGTTGAGGCATCCTGCAATGAGTCCTGAACTGAATCCCATAGAGCACGTATGGGACATATTGGGCCGCTGATTGCGTCAAAATTATCCCAATCTGAATAATTTAGCAGAATTAGAGAGCGCTCTGATAAGAGTTTGGCGTCAAATCCATCAACGTATGATCCGAAATTGCATTTCGAATATGCGACAAAGGTTGCAAGCTGTAATTAGGAGTAGAGGCGGGAACAGTCGATACTGAACACATACACATTACACACTTTAGAAAATGAGTTTGGAGTCGTAAAATACTGTGGAGCTGACAAACCACGGGGTCTCATTTCTTCTAAAAATTGCTTACACGACACTAACACACACACCCTTCGGAAAATGAGTTTGGAGTCGTTAAATACTGTGAAACTGACAAACCACAGGGTCTCTTTTTTTTTGAACAATCTAACACGCGTATATAAGCACAAAAGAAGCGTAAATCCGACCGTGCAACTTCCACATGGTATGCTTTGGATAACGTTTATGCCGGCGGTAAATCAGTAATTAATCAGAAACCTTGTTTGTCTTGACAACAATCAACCATGACAGATTTTTGTAGGAAATCTTCTGCAAAAAACGAAACCCCCTGTCCGTTCGCTGGGCGACCGGTAGTTTCAGAGGTATCGGCAGTTGAGTGAAAGAGGATCCTTTTGCATTCGAAATTCGATATCTCGAAGAAAAATGGTCGTATCTGACTCCCATAAAAAGCAAATTGAAGCTGAATAAATAGGCTATGCGATCTATGCATTGGTCTAGCTCGAAAAAATTTTGTCATGCCCGTAATGTAAAGTAATAAGGTAAAAATTTTGGAAAATTTTTTTTTGGTGCTTTATGCAAGAATTGCATGGCTACAGGTGTTCCGAAAAATTTGGAACCAGAAATTCGAAATCTAGAGTCTACAAGCTTCAAAAGCTATATTTTTTATTCCCTGTACGATAATTTCTCACTAAAATACAGCCTGTTGAAAAATTGTCAAAAACATTAGAAATTTTTTTTGTTCCTTTAATTTATGCGAGAAGTGTAGTAACGTTCAATCAATGAAAGAACAATAAGATTATCAATAAAACCAATTAAAAATATTCCATGCATTACATTGTTTGAATAATGATTTTTTTATAGGTATATATGATATAATATATGGTACAATTAAGTTTAAAAAATGATACAAGCAGGTACAGATTGTATTAGTAAAGTGGTACAGTATCGGTGTATTCAAGGTACATTTCAGGTTTATAGGTATTGTAACGCGTTAAAATTACGCATTCAAGCGACGCGCGAAATACTGACGCTCCCGACTGTTCCAATGATGTGGAGCTACTGCTGGCTAGTA